ATATTATACAAATGAATACATTAATTTAAAAAAAAATAGTAGTGTACTTAGCTAGAGATACGAGAAGCGAGTGGTTCATATCGTCTTTGCGTGATGCACGTGACTGATCGGGGATCAAAATCGTAATTAATAAATAACGCAGGGAATAGTATAAGAATAAGCATAAATATAATTAATTTATAAGACACAATTGTTTGATCGATGATGAATTTATAGCGATAGTCAAATCCATATTTAAAGCAAAAAAGTAACAAGTTAGTATCGACTTTTCCAAAAATAACCTGATCGACCCTTTATTAGATACTTCACTTATTCATTTGTCGCTATTGTTGATCGTCCGTGTTTGCTTTTTCAGTTGGTCACTAATAACCTGCGACGGATCCGTATAGTTCACCGACAGTTAATTTACAGACAAATTCACAGACCGTTCATTTCACCGGCAGTTTATTTTACCGACAGTTCATTTTGCCGACAAATTTTTTATAAATTGCACTAACCTTAACTCTAATTCTGAACCTGATCCTAACGATAATGACCAGAATCACTTGTCTGTGAAATGAACTTGTCTGTGAATTAATTGTCAGTAAAATGAACTTGTCTGTAAATTAATTGTCGGTTAGCTAAGTGATTTTCGGTTAAATTAATGGAACCGACCTCGACAATATACTGTATAACTATAACAACAGGACTTAGGCATTTGATACACGTAACAAATGTTGCTCATAAACTAAAAAAAGCAAAAAAAAAAAGATTTACTAATCTTTGGTAGGGCTAGGAGTGAAAATTTTGTGATTGAATCCAAGTATATTTCAGACAAAGTCTCAAATGTAGGAAGCGTGGTTCCTGCAAGTCATTTGTTCTAATTGTGTAATTAAGGAATTGGGAAAACAATCTGGTATTGATAGTAAATTAGTGTTGTACACAAGCTTAAGGACCGGACCTGATCAAAATCCCTATTTATAGAGTATGAACCTTTTCGCTCGGTATAAAAGGATTTTTTCAAGGGTAAACCTAAAATTCCAAGTCAGAATGCAGTGGAGATGTGTGGCATTAAGCAATACTATCCAGTACAATCTATAGCAGCTGGGACACTTTGATTTAATGAATACTGTAGCTATGATTTCATTAGTAAATTTTTAGCAAAATCGAACAATTCCGGCCCAGTTGCCACGATTCTGATGCATTAATTAATCACTGCGTTCTTTATAATTATATATTACCGCTTCAGAATTTCGTATTGGATATAATATACTTAGAGCAAATATCAGTTTCATGTAAGATTGAATTGAAAGCCCTACATACGTTAGAAAACCGGCATGTGGCTTGGAATTGTGAAGAGGTTGTCAAATAGATTTCTTACGATAGATTTCACGATATTAACAATATCTTACTATTTTTTTCACTACAAATAGATTGAACATATTCTGAAATAAGATTGTAAAACTAATGAATAGAATAAATACAATGATGACAATAAATGGCCGTAATAATTTATTGTGGCAGCTTAAGTTTGGATTTTTTTATGCTGGAATTTTAAAATATTTTAATATAAAAAATTTAATTACTAATTCATATAAGAAGGATAACATTTAATAGACGCAAAAATTACTATTAAATTTAGGGAATTGATATTTCCACACCCTTTTTTGATATTGCCACACCCCTGCTAACTCTAAACCCTAACCAAACCTAATAATTTATATTGATTTTTATTTACAGGGGTGTGGCAATATCAAAAAAAGGTGTGGAAATATCAATTTCCTAAATTTATTACTATTAAATTTATTATAATTATAAAATCTTTTTTTCCTCTATAGCTAACTATTTTTTATTATGTTAATATATTTTACCTCTCTAATTAAAAATGTAGAGAATACTTTTTTACACATGATATTAAAAAATTATTAAAATTGGTTTAGTAAATTATATTTTATGTTTTATAACTATATAAAATTTTTATAAGTGTTGAGGAAAAAAAGATTCCATCCTTATATAAAAAACATAGTAAATTATACTTTCGTAATTTGTAAAATCCTATCCTTCTTATGTGGATTGTGAATTACAATTTTTTGGGCCTTTTTGTTAGCCACATTTATTGAAGCCAGACACGAACTGAAATGCTCACATTCAATAAATCTTTAATACAAAGATTAATGTATAATCATATAATTTTGTGGTTCCTTGGGACCGCGAATTTACGTCATTGCAGTAAAGTTAGAACCGAGGCAAAATTGTTTAACATTTTCAGATCACATGTAAATGATATCGCTAAAATAATTTGCGTCAATTAAATTATAAAGTTTAATAGAACAAGAACACCATTTTTCAAGAGTACTTAAAGTTAAATTCTATAAAAGCAAGATGTTTAATGAAAGTGTCTTTATAAAATAATAACGTTAGAACTTTATCTCACTAATTGAAATATGTCATGGTTTACTTGAAGTTCTGCGATCATACGATTTACTGCGGCCACATAGTAATTTGTTGATCGAGTTGTCTTGTAAAATTTAAAGAACACGTTAAGAGAGCTTTAGCAAGTGTAATTTTATTTATACATTTTATTGGTTCAAAGTTATTGAAGATAAAAACCCGGCCAACGATTTACTATGTGGCCCGCATTATGTTTGTAAATGGTATGCTAGCAGACACTCAGGTAGGCTGTGGCATATTTCAATTAGTGAGATAAAATTCTAACTTTATTACTTTATAAAGACATTTTTCACTAAACATCTTGCTTTTATAGAATTTACAAATGTTAAATATTGCGGGAAAAATTAAAGGCGAAAGTAAAATCGATTTTTCTTTATTAGCGCTAATACTGTAGATGTTTATGTACACACATTTTAATACTTGGAACCTATACGTTTGTGTAATATCATCTGAGATAGTCAGACCTTTCTCCATAATAATATATACCACAGATTTGCGAATATATATTGATGATAAAATTGTACAGTGATAGGTTTTCTCCTTTAGAAATTAAAATGTCAAAAAAAATTAACGTCAATGTTATTGGTACTGGTGTATTAGGTCTTACCACAGCTTTAATTCTGCAAAGAAATGGGTATCAAGTAGAAATTTTAGCTGAACATTGGCCTGGCGATTTGGATATTAATTATTCAAGCCCTTGGGCAGCGGCAGTCTGGAGAGCTAGCCTTTATATTGAAGACAAAAGGGTTCATGGTAAATTTAATAGCTGTAACAATATTATGTTATATTCATCAAAGTAACAATTTTATTATCGAATAGAATATGAAAAAATTTCGTGGAATGAATTTGGGACTTTATCTGAGAACCCAGAAACTAGATTAATGCGTGTGCAGATTCGTGATTATATGGATAAAAAACCTGATTCAAGTGATATTTGGTTTAAAGATTTTGTACCAGAGGTATAACTTTTGTTATAATTAAGATGGCAAATTCTTTGTAGAATATCCGCTTATATCACTGAAATGCTTTATATATTTAGTTCAGGGTGATAACTCTCGAAGAACTGCCATCTGGTGTCGAATATGAAGTGTCTTACATAACAGGTTCTATTAATCCATATTTAACCGTTTGTATTTATCAAATAACTTATTTTTGAATGTTCATGAATAATAGTTAGTTTGAATGTTTAAAAATATCTACAATGGTTGCTTGACCAATATATCGCTAGTGGTGGCAAAAGAAAAAAAGTTCATCTTTCTCATATTAATGAATCTTTTTTTTTTAACGACGAAGTTGATGTGGTGATGAATTGCACAGGTGTTAGTGCTAGAACCACTCGCTTCTCGTATCTCTAGCTAAGTACACTACTATTTTTTTTTAAATTAATGTATTCATTTGTATAATAT